CCGGCCAGGGCCGTCGGTGAGTCACCTGCCAGCGGGGTGAGAGGCAGGGAGGTGCCAAAATCCCACCACCCACGGCGCCGGCTGCAGCTCAGAGCTGCGGGGAGGAAAAGGGTAAAATTGGGTCGAGAAGGCGCGAGATGAAGATTTTCGCACGGGGGGCTCGGTGAGATGGGGACCTAAACTGTGGCCCAGTCGGTGGTGATGGTGGTGGGGGAGTTGGTTTAAAGCTCAGCGTGGGACAGAGGTCAGAGCGGGTGACGGTCATCCCAGGTGGCAAAAATAAAATAGCAAACGCCTGAAAGCACTTTGCACCCAGCGATGTCCCTGAGAGTGCCCGCTGTCCCTCCTCCCAGCCCCCGGGGAAGGGACGATGGAGCGATGCTGCCCAAAAACCCACAAATTTGGGGTTGGTTGCCCAAAAACCACCCATCCCCTCCCAGGTCCTTCAGGACTGTTGGGCCCAAAGGACGGGGACTTGTAGGGCCAAAGCCACGAGGGGGGAATAAACATCTGCAGGGCTGGGAATCCTTTTTCACTGGTTTTTTTTTTTTGAAGTTTAGCGTGAAAAAATAAAGGTGCCAGCCTTAAACTATAAAGAGTCTTCAGGATTATTTATTGAGATGAGGGGACATCACCAGGGAGGTGCTGGGTTCAGTACGGATGCTCCAGGACGTGGATCATGATATCCAGCAGCGCCGGCCAGGTCTCGGTAGCGGTGGGGATGATCTGGCTGCTGGGCAGGAGGAAGCCGTAGCGTCCTGTGTCCCTCAGCTCGAACGTGAAGGAATATTTCACCCCGTTGTCGTAGGCCCAGTCGATGGTGGTGCCATCTGCCATGTCTGCGGGGAGAGGAGGGGAGATGCGATCCCAAAGCTGAGTGCTCATGGTGGACGCGATGCCGCGGGAAGGGGAAGGGACACTTACAGATGGTGTCCACGACGCTGCCGTAGGTGTATTTCGTCCCATACACGGCGGCCAAGTCGCTCACCGCCTTTTTAGCCAGTTCATTCTGCAAGGGAGAGCCCAAAAGCGGTGAGACCTGGTGGACCCAAGACCCTGGGGCAGCAGAAACGCCGGGGCGGCAGGGTCTAGAGCCCAGCATCATTTCCCAACCCCTCTGCTCTTGCTTTTCCCCAAAACATCCGTAATTTTTGATGGATGGGAGGTACGTCTTGCGATCGCCCTCCCTCCAAGAACCAGGTGATGGGCTTCAAAGTGCAGGTTGCCTCTAACGAGAGGAGCAGGGAGGGTCCTGGGATGATCCAACCTGACTATTCCAGCAAGGCTGGCAGTTGCTGCCCCATGTCTACATTTTGGGGCCATCTCACCAGTTCCTGGTAGTTGGGCGCAGGCGCTCTCTTGTAGCCGTAGGGGAAAAGCAGCATCTGGGAGTAGCTGTGGATGGAGATGACCGATTTCATGTTCCCGTGGCCGCGGATGAAGTCCACGATGGCTTTCACTTCTCTCTCCGAGTGGGCGTAAGGGCCGCGGTAGGTCTCAGAGCAGGGGTTGCTGCTGGAGCCAGAGCCTGGGGCACGGTAGAGGAGGCACCGTGCAGAGAGGCTGCCCCGGGGAAGGGTTTCTAGCCCCCCCAGGTTTCTCCCCTCTAGCAAGAAGCTTCAATGCTTTGAGGCATGAGCGATGCCCGGTGTGGGGACCCAGTGGCCCGGCTCTCACCTCCAAAGCCCGCGTCCCAGTTTCGGTTGGGGTCCACGCCGACACAGTGGGAGCTGGTGTTGATGGACCTCGTCTTGCGCCACATGCGGTTCTAGGAGCAGACGGGGGCGAGACCATCACAGGGATGTGAATCCCGCCCCCCCTCCTTGGGGGACAGATAATGCCCTCCTGCCCAAGCATCTCTGGGGATGGGAGGAAACCACCTCCAACCACTCGCTGTCCCACATGGGAAGAGACATACCTCCCCACCCAAAAACCGCGGCCAGCCACAGTTGCCAGAGCTAAGTGCCGGGACAAGTTCCCCCTGCAGTGTCCCCGCACTCACGGAGCTGTGGGTGAAGGCAAAGCCATCGGGGTTGGTGACTATCTCGAAGAAGATGTCCATGCTGTCCAGGATGGCGGTGACGGAGGGGTCCTGGCCATACTCCTTGGCGATCTGTGCGGGGAGGGGAGCGGGAGCTGCCTCGGTGCCCCTCGGGGATGAGGGATGCGACTGAGCGGTGCCGCAGGGAGGTGTTAAAAAAGGGCTGGGGTAAGAATTGGGGTCCCACGTCCCAGGACACATGGTTACCTTGTTGGCCGTCCAGATGCCAGTAGCTTGGGTGATCCATTCCCGTGAGTGGATGCCGGTGTCCAGCCAGATGGCTGACCGATTTGATCCCCCGGTGCTGAACTGCGCGGAGATGGGGGGGGAATTTCAGCCCTGCATCCTCCCGGGGCAGGGCAAGGTGAGGGTGCCCCCGGTACCCACCTTCAGCACATACAGGGGTCTGTTCTCATAGCTCTGCCCGATCTGGATCTTGCTCACGAGGCTGGGATGATCGTCCACCAGCATGTCCATCCAGTAATAGATCTGAAAGGAGGAGTTGCTGGGTCACGAGGCTCACCTTGGCTTTCCTTTTGGTTTTTAGGGTATCCAGCACCAG